CTCATCGGGCACCAGCTCCAGATGCTGGTGCAGGTTCTGCAGCTGCTGCCCTGCTGCTTGCGGCTCTCGCGGCTCGTCGCCCGCGTGGGCGTCTTCGCGGTGGAGCTCAGGACGGGCCGAAGCAGCCACATTTTCCGCACTTCCCGCTCCTCCCCTCCTCATCTTGCTGCACGCGAACTCGCGCTTCCCATACGTGCTCGCGTCGGGGCAAAGATCACGGCGGGCAGTTCTTGCCCGTTTTCAGCCGCGGGATTCGTCAACAAACGACCCGCGATGAGAACCTGGCCCTGGGGAAAGGGTTGGGACTCATTGCCCCGTATTGAAAATCAAGTTATCGCACGGACGGGTCCCACCCTCTTGCCTTCGGGCCGGCCGCGACCGGGAAAGTCGGCCGGGTGCGGTGTCAGGTCTCAGGAGACGGGGGTCATTGCAAACGGGGGTCAGTCAGAGCGCCGGATCCTGCAGGATCCTGCCTGGGCGCCTTGACCCGGGCTTGGGTGCAGGATCCCGCAGGATCCCGCAGGATCTTGCAGGATCCTGCCGGGCCTGACGGACCCGGGCCTGGATTGACCCGGGTCAGCAGATCCCCGACGGTGCCCGCGCGGGCACCGAGGGCCAGCCTCGGGCAGCCGCGTGCCGGCCGGGCCGAGCCCACGCCTGCGGCGGGAGCCGCCCCCCTGCGGGCAAGGCGGCCGCCCTCGCGGGCCCGTCGCCCGCGCGCCCTCACTCCAGCGGCGCGGCCCAGGAGGCGGCAGCAGTGGCAGCAGGACTGGGACTCGCTGTCGTGGATGGAGTTCGGTCGCCGCCTGGCCTTCGACAACGCCACGGTGTCGGGGAGAAGAGCCCCTAACCCTGATGACACGATGAAGGTGTGGCCTCACTTAACCCCAGGAAGCATTTATGACCCCCCCCCTCCGGTGAAACGATAACGCTTCCAGCACCAGGAGGTGCCTCTCGGATTACAATGGGGTCCAAATCGGCTCCTCATGTGATGGCAATAAGACCCCCATTCGTCGTAGTCGTCGTCGTCGTCGCCGCCGCCGCCGCCGCCATGGTCGTCGTCGTCGTCGTCGTCGTCGTCTTCGTCGGCGTCGTGGATTCCTATTGGAGATCCGATTGTGTTCGAATCCCGTTGGAATCCTATAGAAGTCACACTGCATTGGAATCCGATTGGCATCCTATTGGAATCCTGATGGAATTCCCGCTGTGTTGGAATCCCAATCAAATAAGATTCCAATAGGACCCCCAAATAATACAATACAGTAGGATTCCAGTGGGATTCCAGTAGGGTTTGAACTGGATTCAACTAGGATTCCAATACAAGGCAATACAATAGGATTCCAATAGGACTCCAACAGTATTCCAATCCGCGTTCAATCGGAGTCTAACGTGATTCCAATATGATTCCACCAGGATTCCAATAAGATTCCAATAGGCCTCCAATACAATACAATTGGACCCCAATACTACTTAAACAGTCTTCCTATAGGTTTCGAACAGGATTCCTCCCGGATTCCAATCAATACAATAGCATCGCAATTGGAGTCCCACACAACAGGATTTCTATAGGAATCCAGTTGGACTCCATTACAGTACGATTTTAACAAGATTTATAAAGGATCCCAATCTGAGTCTGATACGATCGGATTCCGACAGGATCTCAATGATATTCCAATAGTATTCCAATACAATCTGATTCCACAGTAATTCCAACATAGGATTCCAATTGGATCGCAGACAATCGGATTCCAAAAGGGTCCCAATCTAGAACGCCAATAGGATTCCAATACAATAAGATCCCAATGCGTAGGATTACAATAAGAACGCAATCACATTCCAAGTGTATTCCAACACAGCAGGATTCCAGTGGGACCCAATTTGATCTCAACAGGGTTCCAAGAGCGTTCCAATACAATCGGACCCGGTAGTGTCTCAATCGGATTCTAATTCGCATGTTTATAATCCGTAAACTTTGCGGATTATTAGGCCTATTGGTATCCTTTTTCGTAGTATTATTCGAGGGGGGTGGCGCTAGTAATAATTATTTTCTGTGCGCGCGCGGTGCTAAGATATCGCTCCGTGCGGGGTGGGGGCGGTATCCTCGGATGGATCTTCCTGTACGACGGCCCGGACATTTTAACCTTTGCAGGTTCAACAATATAAATTTGTCAGGTTCAAGGCGTACTGCAGTTTTGCAAGTCTGTGTGTATACATATATATATATAATATGATTCCAATCGCCAAGCAGTGGCGAAGCGTCCTAGCTCGCCTTTAGGCCTACCAGGCAATGTCCTAAGAACCTCCTGGTGTTTGTACGAAATAATATTCGAACATCTCTTGTCGGGACTCCTCTTGTTCTTAACGCATTGGGTTTATGTTCTAAGAACATTCTTTGTGTTCTTAGAACACTTGTGGGCTCTAAACATATTTCGTGGTAGGCCTGTAGGCATGCCAGGACGGTCGGTCCCTGCTCAGAATAGGATGCCACTCTGATCCCAGCGTGGCACCATCGTAATAGGATTCAACTAGGCCTTCAACAGGAGCCCTTTGGGATTCCAATATGATCCCGATACAATAGGACTCCAAAATGATGCCTAGCTGGGATTCCAATCGGATTCTAATACGATCGGGTCCCGAAAGGATTCCAACAGGAACCCAATAACATTCCAATAGGACTCTAATACAACAGGATTCTAATTCGATCTCAATCGGCTTCCATTAGGACTCCAATCTCATTCGAATGCAGTAGGGTTCCAGTAGGATCCCCAAAGGCGTCTCATTTGCATTCTTAGTCTTATCCGCTGTCTTTTCTGATGATATTTCATAAGGTTGTTTTTCCGTAGTGCTGTCGGAGGGGGGGGGGCGCTGGGAATGTTTGTTCTTTTGTGCGCGTGCGGTCCTAAATTAACGCTCCGTGCGGGGTGGGGGCAATGTCTTCGGATGGACCTCCCTGTACGACGGCCGGGACATCTAAACCTTCGCATAGGGGCAGCAATATACAATTGACAGGTTCAAGGCGTACGGCAGTTTTCTAAGTATTATTGTTTTTCTTCCCGTTCATAGTTGTGTGTTCGTTTGTATTATTATTCGTATTTGTGTTCCGATGCTTAATCTTGTTTCGATTCGTGTACTTGATAGTCGTGTTCTCATCAGTACTGTCGTGCAGTATGATTATTCGTGTCCTCCCCCTCCAACTTATTCGCATCAGTGCTGCCGCCGAGAACCGAACGGAAGCACTCGAAAACCCTAGGCCTCGGTGCCCGTTTTCTTCCTTTGAGCTCCACCGCGCCCGCGCTGGCGCGCGGCCCGCCCCCCTCGCCCATCGATGATGGGCCTGTTTTCCACCACCACCACCACCACCACCATCAGTTGGACGGGGAGGGGGTCCTCCTCCTCCTCCTCCTCCTCCTCCTCCTCCTCGTCCTCCTCCTCTTCCTCCTCCACTTCCTCCTCCTCCTCCTCCACCTCCTCCTCCTCGTCCTCCACCACCTTCCCCCCTCCAACTTATGGTGGTGGTGGTGGTGGAAAGTAGGCCCATCAAACGAGGGGCAAAGCGTAGCGTAAGCATGCAGTCATCGTGCGACCATAAGGAGCGCATCCGCCAGGGACGAATGCTCCACGACAAGAATCCGAGGAGCGACCCGGAGGAACACCGCAGCCCCTCCCGAGTCCAAAGCAATCTCTCGACCCAGCGCCTCCTCCGACAGGTGTGCACCCCGTCGGGGCGCACGCTGGTCTCCGGCCTGACGCTGCAGATCCAGCCCGGCGAGGGGCTCCTCGTCGCGGGTGTGGCCAGAAGTGCCCCTGGCCCCCAGGTGCCCCCAGGGATTCCCAAGGGTCGGGGGTGGACAGACCTCCTACCCTGACACGTCGATTCGCGAATTGGCCGTTTTCGGTTCGCGAGAGGGCGTCGCGGCCGTCATTTTTGAGGGTCCATGTCCGTCGGTTTCGGTCCCAGGCCGTTTTCACTAAAGGGAAGATTACTAAAGGGAGGTGTGTCCACCGCCGAAAGGGGGCCCCCACGGCCTCTGGAGCACCCCTCACGAGGCCCAGAGGGCCCCATGGGTCTCCAGAACCGCGTGTGAAGTCGAGCCTGTCCCTCCACAGGGGGCACATTCCAAAATAGTCAGAACATAGTCTGGGGACGATTGTTGGACCATTTGTTGACAATGCTTGAGCCTTTTTGGGGTATTCTTTTCCTTCCAAAATCCCCCCAGGTAGGGGGACGCCCGACCTGAGCCGAGTGACCAGCTGGAGGCACCTTGGGCCAGGGGCACCCTTAGCAACCCCCGGTCGTCTGTGGCCCCAGCGGCTCGGGCAAGACGGCGCTGGCGCGCTGCCTGGGCGCGCTGTGGCCGGTGCTGCGGGGCAAGGCTCCAGGCTCTTCAAATAGGGAGTCCGAGCCCAGACCCCCTCGAGTCCTGGCAAATCAAGCAATGGCGAAGCGTCCTGGCTCGCCTATAGCCCTACCATGCAATGTTCTGAGAACCTTGTGTGGTTTCCACGAAATGTTCTTAAAACATTTCTGGCGGATATTGTCTTATTTCAACACATCGGGCTTATGTTCTAAGAACATTGCTCCCTACCTAGGCTCTGCCTAGAGGGTTCTTACCCTGTGAGCTTAAGGGGCTGGGCAGTGTAAATCGCCCCGGGCGGTTCCCCCAGGATCCGCCCCGCGGTTTCCCCAGTTGCGCCCCCTGGGTTCACCCAGCTTAGCTTAGCTTAGCTTAGCTTAGCTTAGCTTAGCTTAGCTTAGCTTAGCTTCTCTCATCTTAGCTTAGCTTAGCTCAGCTTGGCTTGGCTTGTCTTAGCTTAGCTTATCTTAGCTTAGCTTAGCTTAGCTTAGCTTAGCCTAGCCTAGCTTAGCTCAGCTTAGCGCAGCACAAAGCAAAGCAACAGCAACAGCAAAAGCAACAGCAAAAGCACAAAGGCAATAGCAACGGCAAAGGCAATGCAAACCAAAAGCAACACCAATGCGGAAGTGTAGATGTAGATGTAGATGTAGGTGTACGTGTAGGTGTAGATGTGGATGTAGGTGTAGATGTAGATGTAGATGTAGGTGTAGATGTAGGTGTAGATGTAGATGTAGATGTGAGGCTCGCTGTTGATGTCGATGCAGGTGTAGATGTACATGTAGCTGTCGGTGTAGATGCAGATGTTGCTTTCCTAAATGCTCCAACTCCTAGGTAGGGTCGCACTGGTATAATTTTTGTTCTTGGAACATTTTTGGGTTCTAAGAACATTTCGTGGTAGGACTATAGGAATGCCGGGACGGTCGGTCCCTGCTCAAGCAAAGTCACGACGGAAGGTTTGTTGCCAGTGTTCGGCCTCGGGGGCCCTTCCCGACCCAGGATGAAAAACCACTCCCAGGGAATGGGTTGAGACTTTCTGGGGTTCGACGTTTTGAAAAAATGATGCCATTCTGGGGGTCGACGCTCTGGGGGTCGAAGTTCCAGTGCCTCCCAAAGGGGGTCCGAGCAGATGGAGTTGGAGGATCGCGCCGCATCGCCGATGCAACGGCCCTGGGATCTGGGCGTTTGAATTTTTCCACACCGGGCGTTTTCGCCCAGTTTCGGGCCCTGGGGCCATCACAGATTGATGGGGGCTAGGGCTGCGGCCGCGATTTTTCGTGATGTCGCCGTTTGTTCCGTCGGCTCTCAGGGGGCGATGCGACTCGACGTGGAGCCCGATGTTCTCCGCGCCGGCGACGCCGATGCGTCGCCGACGTCGCCGAAGCATCGGTGATGCATCGGCGATGCGGCGCGATCCTCCGATGCCATTTGCTTGGACCCCGTTTGGGAGGCCTCCGAAGGTGGTGCGCCCCGTGGAGGGCGGCGTAGGCGGGGGCAGGGCGTTCGTGGGCGGCCGCACTCGCCGGCGGAGCAACCGCGCGGGCCTCAAGGGTTGGTCGAGTGGCCTCGCGGACGACGGGGCCGTGGTCTACCTGCCCCGCGGCCCCGTGCTGCCGCTGGCTGACTGCCGGGACCTGCGGGAGCAGGCGAGCCGATGCCGAAAAGCGGGGTCCTCACCAGCCTCGATGTTGTCCCCATCCCTGAGATTGACACGCCAAAAGGCGGTGGCAATCTTCGGGATGCACTCTCAGAATCTGAGAAAGTCCCTGAGATCGCCATCGTGATGAGGCGATGCCCCCCACATAGGGATAGGGATGTGTTCCAGGCTGGTAAGGGTCAACATTCGTGCGTCAGCTTCCGCGTGAGTATGTTCAGGCGGAGGCGCCCTCTTCTTGACGCCGTGTGCCACGCTGGCGGATCGCGCAAGCCGCGGCGTAGGGTCGCTGTGCCCCCCCGCGCAAGACCATCCGCGTGTTTGCGTCGCTCAGGTGGTCGTCTCGTCCAGCGGGCAGTGCACGGGGCTGTCCGCGGCGTCGATGCAGGAGTCGAAGACGAAGACACGGCATAAACACACCCGCTTACTCGCACACACACACCACAACACGCACACACGCAACACATTGAACACCGCACACAACACCACACACAGCACACCACACACCACACACCAGACACCAGACACAACGCACAACACAACACACCGCACACAACGCACAACACATAGCACACACCGCAACACATAACATACAACACACAACACATAACAACAAGACAACACACCATGCACAGTACACATCACACAGCGCCCACCGCACAACACACAGCACACACCATAACACACAGCACAGAACACACGGCACACAACACAACACCTATCATACACCACACAGCACACAACACATTTCACACAGCAGACATCACACTCCACGCACCACTCTCCACACAATACACACCACACACCATTTAGCACACAACACACAATACACACTACACACATCACACACCACAGGACACACACACATCACAACACACAGCACACACAGCCCGCGCAACACACATCACACAGCAAACAACGCCCACATACAGCGCACACAGCACACACACACCTCACACACCACACAGAACACGCACAACACACACACCAAACACCGCACACACCACACAGCGCACAGCACACACCACACACCACGCATACATACACCACGCACAACGCACACCACACAACACACAACACACACACCACACACAACGCACACAGCACACACGACGCAACAACGCACATACACCATACATCACCCAACAGGCATGCAGCACACACGCATACACGTACACACCACACTCAGCATACAGCGCACACACAGCACACACATACACCCCGACCACCACACCACAACACACACTACACTCCACACACCACACTTTGCACAATATACACCAAACGATACAGCACACAACACACAACGCACACCACACATTACACAACACACAACACGCAGTACACCACACAACACGCACAGCACGCGCAAGACTCCACACACAGCACTCATAACACACAACGCACGACACACAGCACACGCACCACACCCAACATCAAGCTTTCACACGCAGCACACACACACACCCCGAACGACACAACACACCACACACCACACTCCACACACCACACCACGCACACCATACACCACACGATACAGCACGCGACACACACACACACACCACACGCCACACATTACACAACACACAACACACACCACACAACACACACCACACACCACACACCACACAACGCACACACACAGCACGCGCAATACACCACGCACAGCACACATAACACACAGCACACGCCACACAGCACACACACAGCACACATAACACACAGCACTCAAACCACCACACAACACACAACACTACAATCCACACACCACATTACACACCACACTCTACACACCATCCAGCACACAACACAACACACACACCACATACCTCCTCACACAGCACGCACAGCACACACCACGAACACCACAGCACAACACACACACCACACACCACGCACACAACATGCACACCACACACAACACACAACACACACACACACCACACACCACAAACAACACAGAACACACAACACACAACACACACCACACAGCACGCAACACACAACACATACCGCGCAACACACACACACACGACAGAACGCACAGGGCACAACTCAACACACCTCACACAAACCACAACACACACACACCACAAAACACAACACAACACAGCACACACACACACCACACATCACGCAACACATCACATACACCACACGACTCATAACACACACGCACACACACACCAGCTCACAACACGCACACGCATACGTACAACACGCGCATACCTCCACGCACACGCAGGACACAGCTCAACACATCAAACACAGATCATAACACGCACACACACACACACCACACCGCACAGCACAGCACACACCACACATCACGCACCACATCACACACACCCACACACCACACGACAAATTACACACCAGCACAGCACACACATGCGTACAGCATGCGCATACCTCTACGCACACACACACACGCACACACGCACCAATACCCGCACACGCATACGCACACGCACACGCACATGCACATGCGCACGCACACACGGCTCACGCACACACGCACACACGCGCACACACACACACACACGCACTTACACACGCACACACACACACACACACACGCACACACACACACGCACACACGCGCGCACGCGCACACCCAAACCCACACACCCACACACACACCCACACACGCACACCCACACACCTGCATGCCACACACACACACATCTACATGCACACACACACGCTGTTCACGGTCCGCGCGAATTTCTTGGATCTGCGCTGGACCCCCTCCCTGGGGCGCGCGCGCGCCAGGGGCGGCGCCCCGGGCGCCACCAGGGGGTCCAGCGCAGATCCGAAAAGTCCGCGGGCCGTCAACAGTTTCTGCTTGTGCTGACTTTTCTTCTTCCAAGGAGCTCGACAGCCTGATCCAGGCCGTCGGGTTGGACCACCTCTCCGAGGGCTTGGGGCGGGACGCCAGCCTGGAGAATCTGCAGCGGCTGGCGCTGGCCCGCCTCTTGTGGCGCAAGCCCGCGTTCGCCGTCATCGACGGCGCCACCTCGGCGCTGCCCCCAGCCGACGAGGACGCGCTGCTGGACGCGTGCAGGGGCGCGGGGATCACGCTGGTCACTCTGGTGCAGAGGGAGGCGCTGCACCGGCACCACTCGCGCATGCTGACGCTGGAGGGGCGCGGTCGCTGGCGCCTGGAGGACATCTCGAAGAGGGAGCACGGCGCAGGCATGAACTTTTGGAGCTCCGCGCGGGTTTTTCTTGGATCTGTGCTGGGCCCCCCTGGTGGCGCCTCCAGTGCCGCCCTGGGCGCGCCCCCCAGCGCAGATCCAAGAACTCCGCGCAGACCTCCGCGGTTTCCTGCTTGTGCTGCCTGTTCCTCTTCTCACGTCAGCAGCAGGCCCGCCGCGGACCCCGGGGCGCCCCAGAGGCCCGAGTCGTCCCCGAAGCTGCGCGCCCCGCTGGCGGCCGCGGGGGGCTCGGGCAGGCTGCCGCGCGAGTCCTCGTGCGGCAGCGCGGGGGGCTCCATGCGGCCCTCCGTGGCCAGCGTGGGCGACCTGCTGGCCCTGCGCACGGAGGTCCGGCCCTGGGTCTTCCCCACCACGCACTCGTGGCTGATGGAGCCGGTGCGGACCCTGCTGGACCAGCTGCGGCTGCAGCTGCGGCTGTTCTTCTGCCTGCGGTGGGTTTCCCCAGCGGAGGTTCGGGGCAGAAGCGCCGGCAGGAGCACGGACTTTCGGAACTCCGCGGTGGATTTCCTGCATCTGCGCTGGCTCCCTCCTCCTCCACTTCCTCCTCCTCCTCCTCCTCCTCCTCCTCCTCCTCCTCTCCCTCTCCACTTCTTCATCCTCCTCTTTCTCTTCCTCCTCCTCCTGCTCCTCCTCCTCCTCCTCCTCCTCTTTCTCTTCCTCTTCCTCCTGCTCCTCCTCCTCCTCCTCCTCCTCCTCCTCCTCCACTTCCTCCTCCTCCACCACCACCCCCTCCTCCTTCTGGTCCCGCGGATTTCTTGGATCTGCGCTGGTCTCCCTGGCGCGCGCAACGCGCCAGGGGCGGTGTTAGAGGCGCCGCCAGGGGGGGGGGGCCAGCGCCGATCCAAGAAGTCCGCGCGGAGCTCCGACAGCTTGTGCTCGTGCCTTTTTGCCCACAGGGTTGAAAAGGCCTACCCCGCTTCCGCTGCCAGGCAAGACCAGGCCGCACCACCCGCCTCGTCAAGCAGCCTGACCGTTTCGGGCCACCCAACGGGTAGTTTGGTGTCTTTTGGTCGCCGTCTGGAGGCGAGGTTGGTCAAACGCGAGGTCGGCTCGTTCGCCTCTCGTCGCTTCCTTCCTCCAGAGGTGGGCGCCTTTGTGCTGGTACTGGCGCTGGGCTTCTGCGGCGCCTGGGCCGAGGAGCGCGCCATCGGGCTGGGCGCGGCCGCGCTGCGCGCCGTGGTGGAGCGCCGCCGCGGCGCGGCCAGGCAGCTCGTGCCGCGGCTGCTGCTCTGCGCCTGCGCGCGCAGCGGCACGCACGCGGCGGCCGTGCACCTGGGGGCGGCGGCGGCGCTGGCCTGCCAGCGGCGGCTGCAGGCGAGGGCCGGCGAGCGAGCGAGGGGGGTACAGTGGAGAGTCGCATGCCAAGACGCACCCTGCTTGCCTCCAGGGTGCCCTGGGTTTCCCCTGGGTTTCGATGCTTCTGCTGGGGAAGGCGTGGCCGGTGGTGCCCGGGTGGTGCCCGGTGTAGTGCCCGGTGGTGCCCTGGTCGTCGGGAACGGCCGCGGGAGAGCCGAGCCTCGGCCCGGAAGCCGGAGCGCAGCGAGAGGAGGGCGAAGGGGGACAGCGGCAGTTGGCTTTTTGGGGGCCGCCTCGTCGACAGGGGTCAGTTTCGATCGGCTGTTCCTGCGAGGCCATGGCCTCACGAGCTCCGCCCTGAAGGGTCCCGTGCGCGTGCCCGCATGAGCGCTCCGTTCCGTTCCGTGCCGTCGGCCGCATCTAAGACAGAGCCCCCCACCCTGCTCGGTCGATCCTCGAATTGCCCTTGTTCGGTCCTCGAGGGGTCTGTGCGGCCGCAGCTTCTTGATGCGGGCCCGCGCCCGCTGGGCCCCTGGTCCCTGGCCGGCGCGGTGACCACACCGTGTGATGGGTCAGTGGGGATTCGGGGTGGCCGCGAGGTTCTGGGACTTGGGCCGTTCTCCGAGGACGTCTCGGGCGACTGGGGCCCCCAGGGTCCCCAGACCAGGTTCGTGCCGCATTGTGTGGCGAGGCTTCCCGGGAGTTGGAGGTCACCGCGCGATCTGTCACAGCATCGTGTTGGGACTAAAGGGGCGTTTTGCGAAGCTTGTGTTTTGCCAACGTCGTTGGTCTTCAGAACGTGTGTCAGCGCCAGCGTGTGCCTGTCCACCGAAGCCCTTCTTATTTCGACCCAGGCCGCGCAACGATGGCCGACAGAGGCTTCGTGCTATCGGTTGAGCTGAATTGGGTGCGCATGCGCTAGGATAGCACACGTTCTGCGGATCATCGATGGGGTTGTGCGGCCGCAGTCGTCTTGCGGGCCTGCGCACCCACGCGGGTGTTCTGCCGAAGTCGATGGTCATCAGGACGTGTGTTGGCCCAGTGTGTGTTTCTTGGTTACCGTCTTCAGCTGCACTGGCAGCACGCATCCTTTGCTGGCCCTTGTTAGATCGCCTGGATCGTATGGAAGGGCTTCGGCGGACAAGGACTTGTTGGCATTAGCGCAAGCTCTGAGAATCATCGAGGGGGCTGTGCGCCCGCAGTTCTCTGGTGGGCCTGCGCACCAAGGCCGGCCTTTGGTTCCTCGCCGTTTTCGCCAAACGGGCGTCGGTGGTTCAGAGATGCGGCCCTGAGGGATGGGGCCGAAAGGATAGGAAAGGGGCCCCAAGCCAAACCTTCACTCTGCCTGAGGGCATCCGTCCTGAGGGTCCCATCCCTCAGGGCCCCATCTCTGAATCGCCGACGGTGCTTTGCCAAAGGGGGCTCTCCTGAGATCCGACGTTGCGAAACAAATCCAACATCGCCAAACATCGCGACAGGAGCTAGACCCCCTCTTCCTGCGGTAGGTGGCGAGCCAGGTCGATCCGTGATGGTCCCAGGTCCCGATTTTGGTCGCTCGTGCCTGGCCGGATAAAACACGCCGCGCCAGGCTTGCAGGGGTTTCGGGCCCCTCGGTTTTGCCAAATGGGAGCTCTGTCCCTCCCCCCAAAGGTTCGATGATCTTCCGGATGTGTGGTAGCTCAGCGAGGGTTAGCCCCGTTCAGCCCCGTCGACAGCACGCAGTCCGTATCGGCCCTCATCACCCCGCCTGCGTCGTATTTGAAGGACTGCGGTGGACGAGCACACGTTGGCGCTACACGAGTCGTCCTCCCCTTCTTCTCCTTCTCCTTCTTCTCCTTCTCCTTATTCTTTTTCTTCTTCTTCTTCTTATTATTATTATTATTGTTATTATTCTGATTAATGATCTTTCTCTTCCTCTTCTTCTTTTCGAGTTCACGTGGTGATTCACGGAGCCCAGTCGGGCTTCTTGCCATTTTTAACGCTGTGCGCTTCTGTGTATGGTGCGTCGCGTTGCCATCGCTGGCTCCTCCTCCATTGCCACCACTGCGCACGGATACAAGCCGCCAGTGACACGTTGGCGCTAACACGCGCGTTCTGAGGGTCGTCGGCAGGTGGACCTGGTGCGCCGGTGCCTGCGCCCGCGCCGCTTCCTGCGCCTCGCCCAGCGCCTCGGCGGCCCTGGGGCCGGAGGGGTCTCCTCCGTGCTGGCGGAGGACGTGCCCGCGGTGACGGCGGGCACGTGGCGGCTGCTGTCGGACCCGTCGGCGGCGAGATCCGAACCCTGCCCTCGCGGAGCCACGGCTCGGACAACTCGTTGGGCGGCGGGGTCGGGGTTCGGAGCTCGTCGAACGCGTCTTCGGCGGCGAGATCCGAACCCTGCCCTCGCCAATCCACGGTTCGGGCAACTCGATGGGCGGCGGGGTCAGGGTTGAGAAATCGTCGAACGCGTGTCGAAGTCCGAGCCCTACCCCTGCCCCCTATCGATTCGGGAGAGTCGATGGTTGGTGGGGGTAGGATTCGGATATCGCCACCCAACCTTCTCAGCTCCTGGCGCCCCAGTCCCGGCGTCACCCAAACATACTGAAACTATGTGCGCGTCGCCCCCAAAGGCGCAATGCGCGCGCTCAGAAATCTTATAGTGTATAATCCGTGGCGGGCGCTTTCTGGTCATGCCGCTCGGGAGACGATGTACTGCAAGATGTTCGTGCTATGTCTTCGGCTCGAGCGTACGCCTCCGATGAGGGCGCATGACACGTACTGGTGTAGCCGACGGCCCGATGCGGCTCGATGCTTGCGTAGCGCCGCTGCGGTGCATTCTTGCGCAGCCGATGCGATTCTATTTGGATTCGGTGCCGATGCAGAACGATTCGACGCACGTTCCGATCCGCTCCGATCTCCCCAGTTCGATGCTGACCGATCTTCGTTTTTGTCGCTACGGGCGAGTTCGCCCGGTTTCGCACTGGCCGCTCACACTCCAGTGCACCGATTCTCGGCGCCTGGGGCCGCCTGCGCACTCCTCGTGGCGAACACTTTCTGCGCCTGAGCCCCCCCCCCACCTGCGTTCCTCCTCGGCGGCCGCCCTCCTCTCCTGGTTGTCTGGAGTGCCCCTGCCCTGGCGTGGCCCGCCCTCGCCGCTGACCGAAGCAGCAGAGGTTTCCCAGCTTCGGGCCCCGGGACCCCGATCCGGCTCGAAGATGCCGCAGCATTAGGGGTTCCAGGGCTCCGGTCGTGTTTTTCCGCGCCGCCGCGATCTTCTCGCAACCTCGGGCCTCGGAGGATCTCGGAGTTTTGCAATCTTCTCGCAGCGTCATGTGAACAGTCGGATCCCATTCTAATCAGTTGGCGTTTCACAGAGAGGCTGCGGCCTGAACGTTCGCCCCCAAATGAGCACGGCGGCTGATCCGATTGCGAGCGCGAATGGAATCGAATCGGATCGAATCGAATTGGGTCTCGGAGGACGGCGCCATGCTGGTCGCCGACGTCGTGGTGCTGTCGAACGCGCTGGCCAGGCGCATGCTGCGCCGGCAGCTCAGCCAGAAGAACGAACAGCGGCGGAGGCACAAACTTTTGGAGCTCCGCGCGGATTTCTTGGATCTGAGCTGGCCCCCCCCCCGCCGATCCCGAAACTCCGCGCGGAGTTCCGAAAGTTTCCCTGAGATCCGACGCTGCCAGGGATACTCAAAACCACGACAGGGGCCCTAAATCTCGACGCTGTGCGGCGTCTTTCGAGCCGCATCGATCTGTGATGGCCCCCAGGCCCGACCATGAGCGAAAGCGCCTGGCCCGAGAAGAGTGCAACGCCAGAGTCTCAGGGTTTGCCGCCTTTTCTTCTTCCGCCAGCGGGGGCCTGCTCGGGCTGCTCGACGCGCTCACGGGCTTCTGGGCCTTCGCCGACGCCGAGTCCTTCCGCCTCAGCGCCACGGCGCGCCTGCTGGTGCTCTTCGCCGCGGTGCTGCCCCCCGCCAGGGCGTGGAGCATCAGCCCGGCGCCCCCGCCCACCCTCTTCGGCATCCCGAGGGGGAGAAGCAGCACAAGCACGCACTTTCGGGCCCGAAGCTCCGAGGCTCGGACAAACTTGGAGCGGCCGGGTTTGACCGCTTTCGGCCCCAGTGGGCCCTCAACGGACCCCAGGACTGTCAAACACGACCGAGGGTGAAAACCGGTCCACGGGAAGTCGTCTGGACGCATCGGAAAACTGGAGCGCCGGATGCGAAGCTCCGCGCGGATTTCTTGGATCGACGCAGCCCTTTCCCCATTCTCGTTTGTTTGGGACCATCTGGGAGGTTCTCGTCGCCACGGCGGCTAGATTCGCCTCGAAACTCCTCCTCCTCCTCCAGTTCACCCTGGGAGAGGTCCGCGCAGCAGCGGCATCCGTAGCTTTCACACACACTCGAATCTCCGCGCGGGCTTCTCCGAGGCGGAGATTTGTCCATGACCACCCCCTACAGGGGGTCCATCTTCGGCTACCTCGGTAACTAGACGGTGGATGTGGACATACTCGGGCGCCCGGGTTCCAAGACACACACGCACACACACGCACAGACACATACACAGACACATACACAGACACAGACACAGACACAGACAGACAGACACAGACAGACAGACAGACAGATAGACAGACAGACCGACCGACCGACCGACCGACAGACAGACAGACAGACAGACAGACAGACACAGAGACACACAGGCAGACAGACAGACAGGCAGACAGACAGACCGACAGACAGACAGACAGACAGATAGACAGACAGACAGACAGACAGACAGACAGACAGACAGACAGACACACATATATATGTATGTATGTATGTATGTATGTATGTATGTATGTATGTATGTATGTATGTATGTATGTATGTATGTTTGTATATATATATATATATATATATATATATTCACCGCTGACTGGGACCCTAGGACATCGGTTTCCCAGGTGGTTGATCTGGACCATCCCCGCCTCGCAATTT